GAAACAGTGAATCTTTTTTTTGTTTAGATTTAAATTGTTTACATGTGTATGCATTTATTTATGTGATGCGGTATGATGCCTCATTTGTTAATAATGAAAATTAGTTGGAAATATCTTTTTTTTAGTTTTGGAGAATAAAAAATTTAATATTTTTGAGGGGAGAGTTTGGCGGCAAAACTTCAAAAAAAAAAAAAATAAAATAAAATAAAAACTTAAAGGAATAATGGCTGTGTGTTGAGTTCATGAAGTCACTATTCTACATAACCTCATTAGCATACACGCAGCACACTCATCTATATTGTCATGATCAAAATACAATTTTGTACCTGTTCCTATTAATTACACGGTGCAACAAAAAATAACCCCAGTAGATTATGAAAATTGATGTAAAAATGGAAGACACGTGTATCGACGTTTTTGGAGAGTAAATCGCAAAGTAATGTAAATAGTGGAGGGCAATTTCGCCCCTCTTACATTATTCGAGGATAAAGATGCCTTAGAATCCTTATATTATAAACAACTGTTAATTACACTGTGTAACAAAAAAAAAAAAAAAAAACAGTAAGGAAAAGTTAAAAGTCGGGAGGGCCGACTATATGATACCCTACACCACTATGGATAATTGGTAGAGCTCACGTAACAAAATAATTTATTTCGAGTAGATTACTGGCTTTAGAGCAGTTATAGTTTGCTTTAGAGTGCATGATATCACTTGGAGAAGGATTATACTAAGAAAAAGTAAAACAGTATCAGTCGGTTTTGCCGACAGATGTATACCACCAGCCTTGAGTTATGAACGTGACACATTTGGACTATATCGACTACTTCTTGTATATAATATGTGCACATTTTCGGGAAATGGAAATATGCGTCAGGTAACAAATATAGCGGACCGAAGTATTCCATTTTCATACTTCAAATAATACAGATAAAATATATTGGTATGTACAAAATTTGAACTTTATGCGAAATCATAAATTCCGATAAATTACATATTTATATCAGAACACTGGTTAAGAGAAATATTTAGATATAGCAACGAATCGCCGACTTGTTTCGCAAGTTATGACAGTTATAAGTTGGCAGATGTATATCATGTCCACAACAGATCTTGTTTAGAAATAATGTCTGCATGTGGGAAGATGGATGGGTGCATTTGGATGCTTTGAGGTGATGGATGGATGCATTTGGATGCTTTTTCGAATTCCTTAAGCGTTTTGTTCTTAAAAATTTTGAACCCTATGTGGGGAGGTACCAGAAAATATGGTCCGATCTCTACCATCTTTATAACAGATTTTGTGTTGATGAAAATATTGAGAAGCTGCAAGTGAATAGAATCGGATGTTAATTTTGCGTTTCACGAGCTTCATGGATACTCAAGATTTTGACCCTTTGTGGGGGAGGTACCAAAAGGAGTGGACCGATATATCCCACCTTCACACCAGATCTTGAGTTAGTAGAAATAATGGGACGTGTGTAATATGAAGAGAACCGGGTGTTTATTTCGGATTCTTTGCTCGTTTTGATTATTCAAAACTTAGGTTCTTTGTGTGGGAGGTACCAAAACGAATGGTCCGATCTCTACCATCTTTATGAAAGATCTTGCGTTTATGAAAATATTGAGAATGCCAAGTCTGAACGGAATCGGATGTTAATTTAGTGTTTTAAGAGCTTGATGGATATACAAAATTTCGACCTTTTGTGGGGGAGGTACTTGATGGAGTCGACCGATATTATCCATTTTTGCACCCGACCTAGAACTGAGGTAAATATCAGGATTATCGATTCTCTATTTGTGCAGATTTTTTTTTCTGAAAATCTCAATCATTTGTGTGGGAGGTACCAGAAGCAGTGGCTCGATATATTCCATCTTAATACCAGACCTTGGGTTAATATAAATATTGGGATGTGTGGAGTTTGAAGACAATCGGACTCTTACATCACATTTTATGAGAGTTGTAATTATTTAAAATTTTGACCCTTTGTGGGGGAGGTACCAGAAGGAGTGGACCGATATTATTCATTTTCACACCTGACCTAGCACTGACGCAAATATTAAGATTTGCAAAATTGGAGCAAAATCGGATTATCGTGTCTCTTTCTGTGCAGAAAATATTTTTTTGAAAATTTCGACCTTTTGTGGGAGAGGTACCAGAAGGAGTGGGCCGATATTGCCCATCCCCGAACTCGATCAAAGTTTGACAAAAATATTACGATGTACCAAGTTTGGACCAAATCGGATACTCCCTTCGAGAGTTATCGTGCGCACCAGCCAGCCAGACAGACAGACGGACGGACGGACGGACATCGCTAGATCGACTCAAAATGTTCTGAAACGGATTTGGTCCAAAGAGACCTAGGGTTTAAAACCGTTATTTCGACTAGGCACGTTTTGACCGTATCAAATGATATATACCCTCTGTAGCCATATGGCTGAGGGTATAAAAATATCCGAGCCGAGTTCGACACAATGGAAACTTACGTCCCGAAATTCATTTCATTTGGGCTGATATTACCCATTATATGCACAATAAACCTGAAATCGTAAGGATATATATCTGAGCTACAGGGTGAGATGAAAAAACAGCAACCAACCTCAGACTGATGTCATTTCTAAGCCACTCGTCCGACAGATGTTAAAATTATTCAAATGACAGTTCATTATATTGTTTACAAACGTACAAAAGCATTTTGGTAAGAATTTTCCAGAAAAAAAAAGTTATTCGTGATGGAATTCAAGCGTGATAGTGTGATTTCTTTATATTTGGCTGGAAAACGACAAGTGGCTATCGTTAGAGTACTCCAGCATTTAAATGTGAATAAATCTGTTGTGTCTCGTACCATCGCTCGTTACCGAGATACTGGTAGCGTAGCCCGACGTCGAGGAAGTGGGCGAAAGAAAACAGCAACATCAGCGTCACAGTGGCCGAAAAATGGCTCGTGAGCTAAACATATCGCAATATTCTATTCGGCAAATATTAAAAAATTAGCTCGGGGTAAAGCCATTGAAATTCCAAAAAGTGTAAAAACTTACACCGCAACGGAAAGAAAATAGACTCAAAGGAGCTAAAGAGTTGTTTCGCTTGGCCGAAAGTGGCGAACTGCCGAATTTGGTGTTTTCCGATAAAAAAAACATTCATTGTCCAGCAGTTTGTAAAAAAACAAAATGATCGTGTGATCGACGCTTGCCAAAGAGGTCAAGTAAAAATATGCACCTTCGTTTGGCTACCAGAACTCCAGCACCGGCCATGGTGATGGTGTGGGCCGTCATAACAGCCGATGGTCGCTCTCCGCTCGTATTAATCGACCGTGGCATCAGAATAAATGCCGAATATTATCGCGAAAATATTCTGGAGGTTGTATTAAAGCCTTGGGCACGCAAACATTTTGGCCGCAGACCTTGGACATTCCAACAGGACTCAGCACCATCGCATTCAGCACGCGCCACCCAAGAATGGTTACAAAATGAGGTTCCTCGCTTTATTTCCAGCGCACAATGGCCATCAAAATCTCCGGATACCAATCCGTTGGACTATTGTGTCTGGAGTATTTTGGAAAGCAAGGTTGCCACTATTTTGGAAAGTAAGGTTGCCTCCACCATAGTATGGAGGGTATATTAAGTTAGTCATTCCGTTTGTAACACCTCTAAATATACATTTTATACCCCACAAATTGTATGTCGATTTAGCCGTCCGTCCGTCTGTCAGTAGAAATCACTCTAGCTTCCGAACGAAGTGAAGTAGGTTAATTAAATTTTACTCAAATGTATATTATGTCTGCAGGTCTTTTGGTATTGAAAATGGACCATGTATGTTCACGTTTTGGTATAGCCCCTATACCTCCCTATTTTCGGTATTTTGGTGATTTAGCCGACATTATTCACCGGAAATGTTTTAAATTTGGTATTTGAAGTTCGTAATGTGTACTACAGCCTAAGACAGAAAATTGTTTATGCAGGTCTACGTCTTTGTATGGCTCCGATATAACGGTACCTCCCTATATTCGGCATTTTGGTAATTTAGGCGACATTATTCACCGGAATTGTTTCAAATTTGATATTTGAAATTCGTAATGGATACTATAGGCTATGACAGAAAATTGTCTGTGCAGGTCCACCTCTTCGTAAAGCCTCCATATAACGGTACCTCCCGATATTCCGTATTTTGATGACATTAGCTACATTATTCACCGGTTTTTTTTAGGTTTTGTATTTGAATATTGTAATGGTTTATGACAAAAGTTGCCTATGCAGGTCCTCGTCGTCGTATAGACCCTAATATAATGGCTAAATTTGGTATTTTTAAGATTTTAACAGAATTTTAACGGATTTTATTTTTTTTTTGATAATTGCCAAATTTGTCCCAAATGGTGGAGGGTATTCAAAGTCCGGCCCGGTTGAATTTACAGATTTTTTACTTGCTAAACGTTTTCTTTATCTCATTAAAACTTTTAATTTAAAAGTTCGGTCCGGTCGAACTTAACTCGTTATTTTTCTCTTTAGAACACATATTTTCCTAGAAATAATTAAAAAAAAAAAACATTTATTTAACACAAATACAACAAAAATCTGCTAATTAAAAATAAAACACTCCCAATGAATTGTAACAAAGTGCCGACTTGAATAAGGTGCTTGTATGACAATGGTGATTATGATCAAATAGAAGTGAGAAATTCCCAATCACATTCTCAACTACAAATATGGGAAATTTCAATTTCCAAAACAAAATAAAAAATCTAAAATCCATGTGGGTTGATTAAATTTTGAATGGTAGCGATTATAGGTTTAGATTAGCCACTACTCTACTGGTTACAAAAAAAAAAAAATCTCAACACACACACACATTACTATCCAACAAATCATAACTCATTTACATAAGTAATTCGAAATAAAAAAAATCAAACACAATCAAGCTAATCTACTTCAAACCAAATTGGGAGAAATTTCAATTCCAAATTAAAAAAAAAAAATAATTTAGGCCTCAATAACGCTCTACACCTACCCATAAACTCCTCCTTGGGGTAATATTCAAAATAGAATCTTTGTTTGAATTTTCTCAAGTCACGCCAATCAATGTTGCGAAACAGCTGTCGGGCTCCCTCCGAGGTTGTCAGCCAGGTGGGTCGTTTCGTGTTTTTCGAATCTAACGGTTTTGTGGTGCTAGCATAGGGCAGTGTCAGATCCAGATCATCGTCATCATCGGGACTTAGTGAAAGCTTTATGGGTGACGAGGTGTCACTGGCCGGCAGCAGGGGTGAGGGGTGGCGTGTGTCATGTTGCTGCTGATGATGATGATGATGGTGGTGGTGGTCGTGATGATGATCAAGATCATGATGATGGTGATTATGATGCATTGCTGCAGCGGATGATGACGACGGATTGCAATTGATTGGAATGCGTGCTGCGTGAAGAGGAAATAAGACAAGAAAAAGACAAAAAGAATGGTATTGTTTGTTGTTATGCCAGGCGTTATACTAATTTTGTTTTGTTATTGTTGTTATTCATGGATTAGTTACAGATTATTGACAATTTAGGGCGAAAAATTTGTTATCAGGATTTCTTTTTTTAATTTGCGGTGCAGTTAGCAAGAGATGAGGAATGGATGATATTAGCAATACGTTTTTTTGTAGTAAATTAGTTTTTGGAATAAAATATGTTTATATTGTTATATGATAATATATTTATTTATATTCGAATTATGGGTTTAGATTTAAAAATGATTTATTTTAAATATTTATAATAAATGTTACAACATGTATTTCCAGCGGCATCAATTAGGATAATATTAAGGTTACCTATACCCTAACCATTATATCTCAAATTGTCTTATAATAAATATACATAGACTGAAAACCACAACCATTTATACTTGACCGACCCAAGAAGGATTTTGTAATCTAAGAAGATCCAGCCATTTTTTTTTATAAAAATTCAAGTGACATTCTCATGGAAAATCGGGAGATATTCCCACAGAAATCAGGTAATCTTCTCACAGAAAATCATATGATTTATTTATAAAAGATCAAGGGATTTTCTCACAGAAGATCAGGCGATCTTCTCACAAAAGATCAGGAGATCTTCTCATAGTAGATCAGGTGATCTCCTCATAGAAGATAGAGTGATCTTCTCTTAAAGATCCGGTGATCTTCTATTACAGAAGATCAAGTGATCTTCTCTCACAGAAGATCAACTAATCTTCTCTCATACAAGATCAAGTGTTCTTCTCCCAGAAGATCAGGAGATGATCAGGCGATCTTATAGAAGATCAGGCGATCTTCTCTTAGAAGATCAGGTGATCTTCTCATAGAAGATCAGGTGATCTTCTCATAGAAGATCAGGTGATCTTCTCATAGATGATCAGGTGATCTTCTCATAGAAGATCAGGTGATCTTCTCATAGAAGATCAGGTGATCTTCTCATAGAAGATGAGGTGATCTTCTCATAGAATACGAGGTGATATTCTCATAGAATACGAAGTAATCTTCTCTTAGATGATCAGGTGATCTTTTAATAGAAGATAATGTGATCTTCTCTAATAGAAGATCAGGTCATCTTCTCAAAAAGATCAGGTAATCTTTTCATAGAAGATAAGGTGATCTTCCCCTAGAAGATCAGGCGATATACTCATAGAAGATCAGGTGATCTTCCCCTAGAAGATCAGGCGATATACTCATAGAAGATCAGACGATCTTCTCATAGAAGACCAGGTGATCTTCTCATGGAAGATCAGGTGATCTTCTCATAGAAGTTCAAGTGATCTTCTCATAGAAGGTCAAGTGATCTTCTCATGGAAGATCAAGTGATCTTCTCTCATAGAAGATCAAGTGATCTTCTCTCATAGAAGATCAAGTGATCTTCTCTCATAGAAGATCAGATGATCTTCTCATAGGAGATCAGATGATCTTCTCATAGAAGATCTTCTCATAGAAGATCAAGTAATCTTCTCATAGAAGATCACGTGATCTTCTCATAGAAGATCAAGTAATCCTCTCTCGTAGAAGATCAAGTGATCTTCTCTCATAGAAGGTGAAGTGATCTTCTCTCATAGAATATCAAGTGATCTTCTCTCATAGAAGATCAAGTGATCTTCTCTAATAAAATATCAGGTGATCTTCTCACAAAGATCAGGTGATCTTTCAATAGAAGATAAAGTGATCTTCCCCTAGAAGATCAGGCAATATACTCATAGAAGATCAGGTGATCTCCTCATATATGATAAGGTGATCTTCTTCTTATAGTAGATCTTCTCATAGAAGATCAATATTTTTTAAAAAAGATCAAATAGAAAATCAAGTGATCTTCTCTCAGAAGATCTAGTAGGTTTTTCTCCCAGAAAACCAAGTGATCTTCCTATAGAAGATCAGGTTACCTTCTCATAGAAGATCATGTGAGATCAACCTTCTATGAAGGTTAAATGATCCTCTCATAGAAGATCAGGTGATCTTCTCATAGAAGATCGGGTGATCTTCCAATACAAGATCAAGTGATCTTCTCATAGAAGATCAGGTGATCTTCTCATAGAGGATCAGGTAATCTTCTCATAGAAGATCAGGTAATCTTCTCACAGAAGATCAGTTGATCTTCTCATAGAAGGTAGTCTTCTTACAAAAGATCAGCCGGTCTTAGGCCAGAAGATCTAATGATCTTTTCCCAGAAGATCAAGTGATCTTTTCACAGAAAAAAAGTGATCTTCTCGCAGAAGATCAGGTGATCTCATAGAAGATCAGGTGATCTTCTCATAGAAGATCAGTGATCTTCTCATAGAAGATCAGTGATCTTCTCATAGAAGATCAGATAATCCTCTCCAAGAAGATTAGGTGATCTTCTCATAGAAGATCAGGTGGTCTTCTCATAGAAGATCAGGTGGTCTTCTCATAGAAGATCAGGTGATCTTCTCATAGAAGATCAGGGGATCTTCTCATAGAAGATCGTGTGATCTTTTCACAGAAGATCAAGGGATCTTCTCACAGAAGATCAGGTGATCATAAAAAATCAATTGATTTTCTATTGGAAAATCTATGGATTTTCTTTTAGAAAATTGAATATCAAGACGTATTCTCATAGAATTAGTATAGCAATGTAGGTTATGCAATCGTTGACCTTTTCTCACTACTTTTTGTTCTTCCATACGACACATCATCATTACAAAAAAAAAAAATAATAAAAAAAAAACTATAAAATCTTTCTATTATTCAGCCGCATATCGATCAATCGAACAATAGCTGATTTCATCGGATCATTCACGCCAATTTGCCAATGACAATTAAATAGTTTGTCTAAAAATTAATTAGCCATACCACAATTTGTCGATAGGCAAAAAAAAATTGAGAAAATTGAATATCAGCTGAAATTAAAACTCGATCACAATTAAAAGCTGGCCATTGTCGAAACAATGAATGTGTGGTATGGTCTTGGTTAGTAAACAAATGCCAATGGCCATTAGTGGCGCTCTCCAGCATCTTTGTATCTCATCTGGGGGTCCATAAACGACGAATGCAATGCAAACACATTTTCCGATATTGCCTCATGTCAATCAAAGTGATATTCACAAAAACCGAACAAAAAAATAAATACATATACAGCAGCTACAATAAAATCCATGAAAGCCCATTCGGCATTAAGAGCGATGAGCCCCCAACAAAAACTAATTGTAATTTATGCAAATATCATCAGCCGGGCGATATAATGCAAATGTGAGCGTCAAAACATTAAAGAAAAAAATGGAAAAATTGCACTAGTTTTAGAAGTCGACTGTTTCACACCCTATCTGAATGGCAGTGGGAGTAGATGAGGATTCAGATATATGCTAAGATATAATGGTGGTCTCGTATCGTAAAAATTTGAAAATACCACCCAGGACTTTAAATGCTGACTACTAAGAAACTATTTGCATCTACTCAGGATTCCATGGCTTTGCTTAATTCAACAAAGTACTGATCCTAAGGTCGATGGTGTTTCCCATTTATTACATGGTGAGATAATAAAAAAACTGCAACAAAGTAAAACGCCATAATTTTTACATTTGTTTTTAAATTTTATTGAATGAAAGCAAAAAATGTCTTAAATAGCATTAAATTTTAGAATAAGTTTAGATTTGTTCGAATTGGTCACCTTTGGCACGAATTATGGCCTTCAAACGGCCAATGAAACCGTCACACGCTGCCCGAATGTTGCTCTGCGGTATTTTGTCCCATTCCCGGCGAAGCGCTTGCTTGAGGTGATCGACACTTTGGTATTTTTTAGTGCCAACCTTACTTTCCAAAATTCTCCAGACACAGTAGTCCAACGGATTGGTATCCGGAGATTTTGGTAGCCATTGTGCGCTGGAAATGAAGCGAGGAACCTCATTTTGTAGTTTTGTTGTGAGTCCTGTTGGAATGTCCAAGGTCTGCGGTCAAAATGTTTGCGTGCCCAAGGCTTTAATACACCCTCCAGAATATTTTCGCGATAATATTCGGCATTTATGCTGATGGTCGATTAATACGAGCGAAAAGCGACCATCGGCTGTTATAACGGCCTACACCATCACCATGGCTGGCGCTTGAGTTCTGGTGGCCAACCGAAGGTGCACATTTTCATCTGACCTCTTTGGCAAGTAAACACGATCATTTTGTTTGTTTACAAACTGCTGGACAACGAATGTTTTCTCATCGGAGAAACCCAAATTCGACAGTTCATCACTTTCGGCCAAGCGAAGCAACTCTTTAGCTCTTTTGAGTCTATTTTCTTTCTGTTGCGGTGTAAGTTCTTGCACTTTTTGGAATTTCAATGGCCCCGAGCTCATTTTTCAATATTTGCCGAATGGAATATTGTGATATGTTCAGCTCACGAGCCATTAGCCATTTTTCGGCCATTACGACGCGGGTTTCGACCAAGTCGCTTATTTACTTTTCGAACCATTTCTGCTGATGTTGTTGTTTTCTTTCTCCACTTCCTTGACGTCTACCGGCCACGCTACCAGTATCACGGTAACGAGCGATGGTACGAGACACAAAAGATTTATTCACATTTAAATGCCGGAGTGCTCTAACGATAGCCATTTGTGGTTTCCAGCCAAAAATAAAGGAATTATACTATCACACTTGATTTCCATCACGAATAATTTTTTTCCGGAAAATTCTCACCAAAATACTTTTGTACGCTTGTAAACAATATAATGAGCTGTAACTGGAATCATTTTAACAGTTGTCGGACGAGTGGCTTAGAAATGACAGCAGTCTGAAGTTGGTTGTAGTTTTTTCAACCCACGCTGTATATTTTTCAATATTTCATTTTTGCAATGATGATTTCAAGTACCAAATATATTTTTAGATTTTTTGTGTTCATTGAGGTAGTAAGAGCGTAGGGTATTGCGATCTTGAATACCTTAATCTAGTTTTTATTTTCAATTAGCACATTTCG